CCCCAAAACCCCAAAACCCCAAAACCCCAAAACCCCAAAACCCCATGATGAAAATCTCACTATAGAATTAAAAATGAAACTTATTATATTAAATGAAGATAAGATTAGCTACTCAGATTTAACCTTTTTCTCTTCTCCACTCATCAAACTCTTGAATGGTATGAGAGCTTACTGAAGGAGAAACAATCTTAAGAGCGGTAGTAAAATCATCCAAATGCACTGGCCTAATTTCAGTAAGATCTTTTAATTCCATAAGTTTTTCAGTCGATATTTCTCTGATTGGCATCATAGCTACTTCTTTAATAACTGAGACTAGATCTGCACTGGAATATCCTTAACTTAATTCAACTATCTTTTCGATATCTTCCTCTGATAAACTATGTTATGATAATGCTAGGAATTTCTTTTCAATCATTGATTTTCTAGCAGGTCCATCTGGCAATGGTAGGTAAATTCTTCTTGTCAATCTTCTTAGAGCAGCCTCATCTAGATCCTGAGGTCTATTAGTTGCAGCTAAAACTAAAACTTTTTTATCAGAATTCGAGTTTACACCATCAAACTACACCAGGAATTCAGTCTTTAATCTTCTTGAAGCTTCATGCTCATTCCCACCTCGAGCTCCCATTATAGAATCAATTTCATCAATAAATATGACTGAAGGCTCTCTCTCATAGGCTAGAGTAAATAATGATCTTACAAGTCTCTCTCCTTCTCCCATCCATTTTGAAGTCAAAGTCACTGCACTGCAACTAAAGAATGTGCACTTACATTCGGTTGCTATTGCTTTTGCTAACATAGTTTTACCAGTGCCTGGTGGGCCATAAAGTAAAATACCTTTGGCTGGAGATAGAAGTCCCTTGAATATATCAGGTCTTATAGTTGGCAAAACGATTGTTTCTTTTAAAACTTTCTTCACATCCTCGAGTCCTTGTATGTCCTCCCATTTGATGTTAGGAGATGAATCTAATATTGATTCCTCAATTTATCTTAATAATTCAGGGTCAACTGTAGACTTTTTCTTTTATGCTTCCTCAATTTAAGGTGGTTTTTCATCAGCTTATCCTGTATTAATATCCTTCTTTTCACTCTTATTAATATCATTAATCTTTTGAATTATCTCATTTTTCTTCTCTTGATTTGTAGGCTATTCAGTTCTTTCTTATAATACTGATTTAATGAAATTAAGAGCATCCTTATTCACATTTTGACTATAATAGCCTGCTTGATGCTTGTTTTACATCTAAGTCTAGAGATATTGTTTACATTTTTCTGCCTGAAAATATATATACTTCAAATTATTCTTACTCTATCCATAGTATAGTTAAGTCTGTGTTTAATATAATCTTAAAAGTTGGCATCATCCTTAGTCATTTTCATAATTTCTATAAAACCTTCAATGGCTGAAATGTAGATTGTATGAGCCTCCTTGAAGTAGAATTGCTCGAAATTCTTATCTCCTTGAACTAGATTCTAATGTGATCTTTCAAGAACTTAATTTATATATTGCCTCTTTTCTTCTAATTGCCTTTGAAATGATTCTAATTGCTATTATTAGGTCAATTAGGTCTGCATTTTATCAGAACTTCCATCCTCAATGTTAGATTAATTTTAATCAGAATTCATTTTAGAAAGATAATATCAATATATTAATTTTTCATTATAATTAATTCTCTCATTTTTAATTCAATTATCTCTTCCGGGGTTTTGGGGTTTTGGGGAGAAGTG